AAATCTACAAAATCTATCTAATGGATGGAATAAATTAGGTGTTTAAAACCTTGAGAAGGGGGCCGGGGGAAGCAGGGCCTCTTCGTAGTTCCCACTCGTTGAAAGAAGGGGCCCATCTGGCCCCCGACGGCTCAACGGGGCTCCCCGGCAGGGGGGCGGGGGTCCCTCGGGCCTTTGTCGGAGCCAATGGTGGCGGCGCAGCGTGCAGGCGGCCCTTGGGTGCGTGCTCGGTACCCACTAGGCGCCGGGCCCACGGCCTGTCTTGGCAGCCCTGGTCTGCAGCGCCGGCCAGCTCTGAGAGGTGGGGGGGGATGGTCCCCGCTGTGGAGACCAGGAAGCAGACGAGTCATAGCATTGGGCAGGTGGCCGAGAAGACCTTCCACGCTGCCCACCCCAATTATTCTGACGTCCCTGTATTCATGTCCTTTGGGGTCCCCCTCCCACTCCACACGGGGCCGACCTGGATGACCTGGGATGTGCTGTGCAGGTGAAGGAGTGTGACCTCCAGGGCAAGGTCATAAAAGGCACTGCAGCTTCCTGCTTGCTCATTCTCTCTTGGGTCACTTGCTCTGGGGGAAGCAGCTGCCTGTGGGGTGGGGGAAGGCCCAGGGAGGGAGCCCACGTGGGGGTGAGCTGAGGTCTCCCGCAGAAGCACGTGGGCCTTCTTGGAAGCGGGTCCCCCAGCCCCAGCCTCAGCAGCGACAGGGAACAGAACTGCCCGGTGAAGCCACTCCTGAGGTCCTGACGTGCAGAAGCCACGAGCGCTGCTACGTGGTCACTGATAACGGCTCGAGCCCCTGAGTTGTGGGGCAACCTGCTGCACAGCAATAGGTAGCCAACACAGGCTCCTGTTTCCCAGAGGAGGGAGAGGGCGCTCAGAGCTTCCCAGGACCACACGACCGACCGGCAAGAGCAGGGCTGCGGTCTGGGCCCGGTCTGCTCCCCAAGTTGTCTTCCCCAGCTCCCACACCTCCCTCTGCACCCCAAGGCAGGCCCCGGTGGAAGCCAGGACCTGCTGCTGCTCTCCCTCTTCTTCCGCGGAACGAGGAGGAGGAAGGACAGAGCTGGCCTGCACTTCCTCCGGTGGAGGCTCAGAGGGGCAGGGGCTGACCTGCCGGAGCCCGCACGGGCGGGCAGCTCGGAGCCTTGGCTGCTGAGCCAGTCTCGGCAGGACACGCGCTTGGGTGGGCCTGCTCTTTGGTGTTTTGGGTGTGAGAGACTTCAGGTGGACCTGCGGGTCACCAGAGTGACCCTGTCTCAAACCTGGCCTGGCTGAGGTGCTGCTGTGGCCCCCGCTGCACACCTTGCTCCTGAAGCACCCTGGGTGCCTCAGACACAGCCTTTCCCACCGGAGGGTGGTGGCCATGGCATGGGCTCCCGAGCTGCCTTGTTCACTGCCATGTCCCCACTGACACGCAATGGGTGCTCAGGGGTGTCGTGTCCCATGGACGATGGGGCTGCGGCCAGTGGAACGCAGGCAGCCTGGGAGTCCCTGTTCACGGCCAGTCAGAACACCTGGGGGTCAGCCCTGGTGGGGGGCGGGGGCGAGGCCGGAGAGACAGCCCCATGGAGAGCTGCCTTCTAGAGGCCGCCCCCAGCCCCGCCTCCACCCAAGCTTCCGGAGCCCCTCCTGTGTGCAGGCGGTGCTGCCCTGGGCCTCGGAGATGCAGCGGGAATCAAAGCCAACCCGAGTCCCTGTCCTCACGGGGCTGGCAGTCTAGCAGGGGGAGATGATGCTATAGATGGACTCGGCCACCTCTGAGCTCCCGGCTGCCTCTGTCTGTGAAACCCTGCGTGAGCACCTTGGGGCGAGCTGAGATGCTCGGGCAGCGCTCCCGGCTGCAGGCCCCCCGCTCAGCCCTCCCCCAACCCCTGGGGCTGTGGCCCTGTGCTGCCTCCCACAGGCTCAGGGCTGCCGCTGGCCAGGCCCCATGCCCAGCGCTCAGGGCATCCTTGGGAGGCAGGCCTCGGGTTTCAGAAGAGGAGGAGGCCGGACGCCCAAGGAACAGAGTACCAAGCGGGGGTTGCAAACGCCAGTTCCCACGTTTTTGCTGACCCCTGGAGGACAGACGGGCTGGGAATGAGCCAGAAGGCCCCGGGGGGGCAGGGACTGAGGTGGGCAGGGAGGGGGTGCTCTGCCCGGAGATGCCGACCTCTGAAATGACATGCAAACTAAACGGGCGTGGGGGGCAGACCACACACCTGGCGGGCAGGACAGATGCAGGAAGGTGCAGGGTTCAGTGAACTCCCTATTCTGAGGCCCCCGAGAGGCCACAGGGCAGCTGCCAGACGGAACCTGGGCTCCGTGTGCAGAACCAAAGGCGCCTACCCTGTGAACTGGGCCTTCCCTGCCCCGTCTCTGCTCACGTGGCCCCCCCGTCAAAGCCCCCATTGGGAAATTTAAAAGGCTGGCTGGCAGTGTGGGCCAGGCATCACTGCCATTAGGTTAATGTTATGAGCCTCTTACAGGTGCGTTAGGTAGGCGCAGTTATTAACGAGCGTATTAAGCCAATTAAAAGCAGCCCTTTGAGTGAGACTTTATGTTGCTACAGGGAGACACGAGAGCAGACCTCGGAGGCACCCTGCTGGGGGGCTGGGTGGTGGGGAGGGGAGGCGGCGGCTCTGCTGTGGAGGGACCAGAAGCTCCGACTCAGGCTGGAGTCCGGGCTCTGCGGTTTGACGTCCCAAGTTATCCTTTGCTGTGGGGGACCTCAGGCAGCCCCTCACGTGACCCCCAGGCTCTCCTGTGTCAGGGGATGACAGGTAGACACGTCTCGGCTGCTGCCTGCTTATCAAGGGGGAGGGGTGGTGGTGGTGGACAGGGTAGGGGCGCAGCAGGAGCCCAGGATTCTTGGTCCCACACTCTGGGGTTATCGGTGGGCCCCAGGCACCTGCTGTGGCGATATGCCACCCCAAAGTCGCCATGCAGCCGAACGCAGGTGCCTGCTGACCCACCAGACAAACCCCTGGGGAGGCGGTTGCCTCGAGGGCCCCAGTCAGCGGGGCCGACTGTAGCTCTCCCACAGCAGGGCAGGGAGGGTTCAGAGTGCTCCGGGCTCACGGGAGGGCTCCGCAAGTGCCATCTCTGCCACGCTATCATAGGCTTTCCCTGCTGTCCCTCCCTTCAGGCTCTGGAAGTAGTGGTGGGCGTTGTCTGTGTGGAGACGGGGGGAGGGGTGTCCAGGGCTGCTCCAGGACGGGAGGGGCTCCCAGCCCCCATCTGCATTCCCCTTGGCAGCCCACACTCTGCCCTTGGAGGTGGCAGCCTCTTGAATGCTCAATTAACATGACACTAATTAGCTGGTGGCACAGGCAGAATCAGTAATGAGGCCACTCCGGGTGGGGTGAGGGGGCGAGGCAAGGTGCTAGACTAGGGCAGGTATAGCTGTGCCCTGGCCTCTGCTGGGAGGGCTGTTGGCAAGGGTCAGGATGGCTGCCAGCCACCCAGATCTGCCCCCAGCCCCAGCCCACTGACCCAGGCCTTTGACCTCCGACGCGGGTGTGAATCTAGGTAACCCTCAGGGGAGTGACCACAGCTTCCCGGCCTTGGCTTCCCCTCAGGGGGCAGAGGGAAGATTAAATGAGAGGATGTGTGTTGGAAGGCTTGGTATACAGCAGGCGCATAGAAAAGGCTGGCTGCCTGCCCTCTAGCCCTTTCTGGGCCAGACTGGGCAGCGCAGGGTGGTGGCCACCTCTGCGCACAGCACGGAGGGTCCTCTTGCCCAGCCTCTGACTGTGCGTGTGCACACGTGCGTGCAAGCAGAGTCGAGTGGTCAAAGACAGTGGCTCTTCACAGAAAGAGTTTGCCAACTGCCAGTGCAGAGGGAGAGGGTTGCCCGCGTGCGTGGGTCCCGTGTCTGCCATCCGGCTGAGTTCTCACTCTCCTGGGGTTTCTCTGAGGAGAGTCCTGCTTCTCTGTAACCCGTGTAACTCATTGCTGACGTCCCTGGTCTCCCAGAGCTGGCCGGGACTCTGTGTGGGGTGGAGAGGCAGGGATGCGGGTCTCTGCCGGTCCTCAGCTCGGCTTGTTGGGGATTGTGGTTGGCTGCTCTGTAGCGGATGGAGGGAGCTACCTGCCTGCCCAGTTTGCTAAGAGCTTATTTGTATTTGTTAAATCGTGCAGTGGGGCTAAGCCGCCCGCCCTCTCCCTGCCCTCGGTGGCCGAGCCTCTGTGCGCTCCGGGCTCAGCTCCCACAGCGGGGCGGCGCTGGCCTTCCTTCCGTCCCCCAGGGCTGCGCTCGGCAACAGCTACATAATTGGATCTGCTGCGTGGCCAGAGGTTTGTTGTTAATTTTATTGGAATTTGAAATTGCTTTGTTTCTTCCGTGTTTCATTAGTGTCCGTGGGAGCGGCCGCACTTGCGGGAATGCTCGGGGGTGCAGCCCCCACCGACACCCCTTGTGGGAAGGATGGGGGCAGATAAGGGGCCCGAGTTCACCGGGACTTGGGGGTTCTCTTCTGTTCCTTCCTATTCGCACACGACAGCAGAGGAAACCGGGGCCCACAGAGGGCCAGTCCCTCGCTTGCCCAAGACCCTGCCCATGACTCATGCAGGGCTCACCAGGATTTGACCCCCAGGCCACCTTGACCTCAAGCCTGTGCCCTGGGGGCTCGTGGGGGCAGAGGGCAGAGTGGGCACACTGCCCTCCCCACAGAGGGCGGGGCAGCCTGAGGGGGGAGGTCACACCACTCACTCGAGTTGTACCAGAGCAAGGGGCAGGCCCGGGTCAGTGTGCTGGGGTAGCTGTCTCAGCCCCGCCCTCCTTGGATGACAGGACCCTGTCCGCCCCCCCGCCCTGCCCCCCAGGGCCTCTCTGAGGCTCTCTGCACAGCCTGAACTTTCAGCAGCGCGTGACTCACAGCTTGTGTACCAACACCGTGATGAGGAAGTCAAATATTTATCAGCAGGTCCTGAGCAGCTGAGAAAAACAGGCTTCTGTCCCAAGGGCAGACAGATTGTGTTGGGAGCCCAGGGCATGGCGGGAGGGAGCAGTGGGAGACCTTGGGCCTGAGGCAGGGGCGGGGCGGACCGGCCTTTCCCTCCCCCGCAACTTTCCTCCTTCCTTTCTTCCCAGGCACCTGCAGCAGGCTACACCGGCCAGCCACCCAAACTCCTCTGCCTGCCTGACCTCACATCCTAGACGGGTGAGCCGCAGCCGTTTCTGGTTTGCTGGTCAAATTTGGGGTGTCTGCAGTGGCCGATCCTCGTGTGGCCCTGAGCGGTCCGGCTGCCCTGACCCATTTTACAGGAGGAGGAGGGAGGGGTGCTTCAGACTGGCCCTGTCTTCCCCTCACTGGGCTTTTGACCTTGTCCTCACAGACGGTCAGAGCCGCCGGCCTCTCGGGCCCATCCGATCTGACACTTGGCTTTGCAGGAGGAGGGACACAGGCCCTAAGCAAGAGGCTGACCGACTTGTCCAAGGTCACGTGGCACATGGCCCAGTCCAGACCTTTCTCCTTTGGGGAGAAACAGCACAGCTCAAGGTCTGGTTGTAGAACTCGGGGCCAGATCTTCCTGCCCCAATTCTGCTTGGGGAGCCGCAGGGACCGGAGGGGGGGCCTGGGGCCTGATCGCCTGAGACCCTGCACGGGAGGGAAGGGCAGGAACCTCCGCGGCCGACCATCCAGGCCCTGACTGGCGGCAGGGCGCCCAATTCAATTTGCTTATCTCCCTTCCTGCCTCTCTCTTTCCTGTGCTCTTCAATTACAGGCAGAGCCCGTGTCTTTTCCAATAAGCACACAGATGTCACAGGGTCTGCGTGGGCGGGGACGCAGGGCGTCCTCCATGGCTCCACACTCCCTGGTCCCAGCCTTGGACCAGGACGGACCGGCCTAGGTCAGCGTGCCCAGGCCCTGCCCCCAGCCAGCTGGCCGCAGAGGGCCAGGCAGGCAGCCCGGGCAGCTGGACGGCAGCAACCAAAGGTAAAACTGCACAGATCTTGTCAGCTAGCGAGTCCCTTCTGGAACGGACAGGTATATGCAGATGTACACAGATGCTCATTACAACGCTGTCCAGAAACGCGAGAGACTAGAAACAACCTAAACGTCCATCCACGGGAAGGTTACAAATGTTAGCAGCCTTGAGCCGTGCCATGGAAATGGTGAATGAGGCCTCGTCCTGTCAGGGCGAACATCTGGAAGGCAGGCAGGTGGGAAAAGGCCAGCAGCTGAGGAGGGCACAGGGGTGGGGGTTTCCGCGGAAGTATCTCCTGCCCCCGCACAGGCGCGTGTTTCCCGGGAGGGTGTGTGTAAGGAACCGCTCACACCGGTTTCCTCTGGGAAGGAGAGTTGTTTCTTACTGTGAATTCTACGCTTTCTGCAGTGGGGGCCAGCGACAGCGAAGTCTGGGCTCTTACATAAAAGGCGATGAGCTGGTCGCCCTGGAGGTCACATCAAGGAGCGAAGTGGGCGGTGCACGAAAGACACTTTTTCTCGAAGCCGCCGGCCCTCCCAGGTGATCTGGCGTCCTTCCGTTTTTACAAGGCAGGCGCCTTTCTCTAAACCCCTGTCCCTGAGAGAACACCATCAGGACACCCTCCCAGCCCCACTTCCTGGAAACACCCTGAAAGCGACACGGGATAAAAACACCAGCTCCATTTCTGCAAAACTGGGAGAGGGCTACCTCCCTGGACCCACACACACAGAGCAGACAGGCAGGGCCGCCCAAAGCCACCATGGCCCAGGGGCGGCGGGAGGGGGCAGAGGGAGGGAGCAGAGGGAAGCCACGACCACCACCACCATGGTGGGTTCCAGAAAGAGCCAGCGGAGCACACTTTCCAACCGTGAGGGGCACAGGGCACGCCCCAGGTGTGAAATCCACACCCTGTCTTTGCGGCCCTGAAACCAGAGGAGCGTCAGCTGCCGACAGAGCTCCCCACCTCGGTGGTGAAGAGCAAGGGAGGGGGAGCGAAACAAGCAACCACACACACAGACGGCATATTGGGAGGAACCTGCTTGTCTCTGGGGCAGTTCCAGAGGGAAACGCCGGGGCTGGGGAAAACTCCCCCCACCCTTCAGAGACAAATAATCAAAATCGAGCCGGCATAGGACCTAATCAAAATATGTAAGGAAAGTGAAGAAGGGCAAAGCATCAGCAAAATGATGATTAGCAAAAACAAACAAACACATAGTTCCCGTCATAAAAACGTGGTCACGGAAGAGGTGAAGATTATGGCTGACTGTTTCACTGCAAAGGGGCGAAAGTGTAGTAACCGTTGTTTCTATGAAGTAAAAACACGAAGCAAAGACACGCGTCGAAGGAAAATCTCGCTGTCGAAGCAAACGGGGAGCGAGGAACGCGAGCCGGGGATGGAAGTGAGCAGAGCAAGGAGGGAGGGAGTCAGAGAGGCTTCCTCAGAGGCGGCCGCACAGGGAAGACGGGCCAGAGCCAGCCAGTCTGTGCTTCACTGGGGCCCCCAACGGGGAGAAAAGGGAATAATATGAGCCCCGGGGAAAATGGACGTGAAGGGTCAGCCCAGGACACATGCCAGTAAAGAAACGGCGTGAAGGACACGGAGAGATCGACGTGGAATACGAAAGAGGGAAACCAGGCTTCGGGTCTCCACGGCGACGTGCGACGCGGCAACAGAACAAGGTCGACAGAAACCCACAAGAAAGCAATGTGGCCCAGAGATTGTTTTTAGCTCACTCAAGTAGGACGGTAACGGTGGCCCTGAGCGTGTGGAACACCGGGGCACTGTTTGTGTGAGGCCTGATGCCGCAGACCGGAGGGGGGCCAGCATCCCGATGATGGGGACGAAGGCCAACGAGCTGGTGGTGAGACCTGACCCCCTTTTACCTGGGAAGCTGAGATTCAAACAATGGGGATGGGTGGGTGGGGGGCGGTGGTGCTATACCCACATGCTAGCATTCCAAGCCCCAGAAATAGAGTAATGGTGTCCCTAGTAAGGGAAGCGGGGGAGGAGGGGACAGGAGTGTAAGGACAAAGATGTCCTCGTCTTTAACCAAGGACATCGCTGAGGCGGATGTCAGGGGACAGAGGTTTAAAGGGGTAACGTGAACTCCAAGGACATGCCATAGAAAGAAAAAGAAAGCTGAACCTTGAACAACATGGGGGCTAGGGGTGCTGATCCCCGCCCCATACACAGTCAAAAATCCACACAAAACTCTGGGCTCCCCCAAAACTTAACTAGCAATAGCCTGCTGTGGACAGGAAGCCTTACTGATCATCTAAACAGCTGATTCAATCTCTGTAATATATACTGTGTTCTTACAAGGAAGCCAGCCAGAGAAAAGAAAATGTTACCAAGAAAATCACATGGAAGAGAAAATACATACATTTGTGGTGCTGACTGTATTTCTTTTTAAAAATCCACATTGAAGTGGACCCACATGGTCCAAACCTGTGCTGTTCCGGCATCAGCTGGCCGCTAATTTCGTCATTTTGTTCACCTTGGAGAGAGTAACAGACACTGTCCCAAAGAAAGGGGAAATTGGGGTGTTATTTAAAGTTACACCGCTGGAACAAAAACACCAGCCTTTCTCGTGATTAGTGGGCGCGCCAAACAAAGCAGAGAACACAGATCACGGAGGGAAAGACTTTTAAAAGCAATTACAGCAAAGCACAAAATGAGCTCAGATGAGACATCTGTCATATCAATAAATGGAAATGGGCTAAGCGCTCAAAAAAATCTGAAAAGGCATTCAGGTTGAATCACAAAGCCTAATCCAGCTCTGTGCCGTGTGAGTCACATCTAAACAAAGTCATTCAGAAAGGCTGAAATAAAAGGATTGGCCAAGGTTTCAAGAAAACTGTGAATTAAAAGAGCAGAGGTGACTACCTTTTTTTCCTCTTAAGATTGTATTTATTTGTTTTTAGAGAGGGGAAGGGAAGGAGAAAGAGAGGGAGAGAAACATCAATGTTGCTCCTCACGTGCCCCCTTCTGGGGACCTGGCCTGCAACCCAGGCATGTGCCCTGACTGGGAATCGAACCAGAGACCCTTTGGCTCGCGGCCCGGGCTCAACTCACTGAGCTACACCAGCCAGGGCCAGAGGTTACTATCTTAGCAGATAAAATTGAATCTGCCCCCAAAATATTAAGTACAGTAAAGAAAGCTGCAGTCACAATGAAGATTTACGGTGTTAATAGCTACGTGGTAAGTAACACTGCATTGCCACTCAGAAGGCCAAAGCTGTGGGTGCCACGAGACGAAACAGACCGGAACCCATCAGCAGCGGGCATCCAATTCACTTCTCTTTCCACGACAGGTGAGTGCGGCTATAGAAGACCTAACTAGCGTTAATTAATGGGGTGGATATAATTGGTATACACCAAACTCCAAACCCTGAAAACAGAGTCCCATCCTCCTCTCAAGTCCCTGTGAAAAGTCTCAGAGCTCGCAATAACAGGGGCCCTGGCGAAGTAGCTCAGGTGTCAGAGCACTGATCTGAAGCACCAAGGTTGCATGTTCGATCCTCAGTCAGGGTATCCGTAAGAATCAACCAAAGAATGCATAAATAAGGTGGGACAACAGATCTTGTTTCTCTCTCTCCCTCCCTTCCTCTCTCTAAAATCCAATTTTTAGAAACTCACAAAATACGACCACAGATTATACTGCAAAGAAAACTTCAATAAAATACAAAAAAAGTAGAAATCATAGACAACCTTTTGATCATAATGCAATAAAACGAGGAGAAAAACAAAATACAAAGGCACCTACAGCCTGGGTGCAGAGATGGAATTCAAATGAGCCTTAGGTCAAAGAGGAAATCAAAGTTGAAGTTATAAAATATCTAGGAAAAATGATAATAAAAACGCTACATATTAGAACCTATAGGATGTAGCTCCAGCAGTGTTTGGAGAATTCATAGCCTTAATTTTCCCTTTTTTCTTGTTTAGCAATATAAAAATTTAAGCCTCTAGCTCAAGAAATTAAAAAGAAAAACAAGGAAAGGAGGAAGATTTTAATAAAAGTATCAATAAATGAATTAGAAACCAAAAATGGCTAATTACTAATAAATCCTAAATAGGGATCTTTGGGACACAGAAATGGATTACCTCATCAGCTAACTAACAATCAGAAAAAATGGGGGGAAAACTACAAAACACACAATCTAAGAAATAAGACTGAATTAATCATTAAAATAATTGTAAATTGTTTTGTTCAGCCTCATGCAAATAAATTTGAAAACCTGGATGAAATCAATACTTTTCTAGAGAAATATAATTTGCCAAACTCATTCCAGAAGCAGAACAATTACAACAGATAAATTATTACAGAAGGAAGAGTATCACCAAAGAGCAACCCACCTACCCCAAACTAATGCACTAGCCCAGACTAGTCGATGGAGGGTCAACCAATCTTTAAAGAACAGATAATCCATCCCTAGTTCAACTCTTACAAAGCACAGAGAAAGAAGGAAATTCTCAGTTTTCTTCGTGAAGTAATTAAGCATCACACTTATAGCAAAACTCAACAAAAAACTGCTCCAAAAAAAGAAAACTAAAGACTACTCTCGTTGATGAAACTGAGGCAAACCCCTTCAGTATGAGAGCAAACCCAACCCCTCAGTAGTGTCTTACAAAGAAATATTCATGGACAAGTCAGATTCAGCTAGGAATGCAAGGATGGTTCGACAGTAAGAAGTCTATATTCTTCTTCTTCATATTAACAGATTAAAGGAAAAAACCATATGATCACCTTCATAGACTCTGAAAAGTCATTTGGTAAACTTCAACTTCCATTCTTGACTTTTAAAATTCTTAATAAAGTAAGAATAGATAGACATGTATATAACCTGATGAAATATTTGCCCCCAGTCCAGCATTGTGCTAATGGGGAAATCGTAGAAGCTTCTCGTTAAAAGTCAGGGACAAAGCAAGAATGTCTATCAGCACTATTATTATTTTTCATTGTCCAGGGTTAGTAGCCAACAATATTAAACAAGACAAAGACATGAAGGTCTAAAACTTCAAAAGTAGGAAGTAAAATGATCATTTGCAAATGATAGAATAGTAAATGGGGAAAACCTAAGAGACTAAATTAAAAAACCATTATGAACAGAAGATTTCGGTGAGACGGCAGGAGTTAATAGCCTTTATATAAATAAGCTCCATTGATGAAAGAAAAGACTTGCCAAGAAGGGTTAACTATTCAGAAGCAAACTCCAAACCTGTGTAAGATCTCAATGAAGCAAGTATTAAAACACTCCCAGGGGATGCACAAGAACGTTGGAATGCACAGAAAGGTATATATCACATTCTTGGACGGAAAACGTCATAAAAATGCCACGTCTTCCTACATTAATTTATAAATTTAACGCGGTCCTAGGAAAAACACAAACAGGACATTTGCTCTTGCCTAGATAAATGGATTCCACGGTTCAGACAGAAAAATGAAGGAAAAAGCCAAGGAAACTCTGCCTGGGGGGATGGCGAAGAATAAGGAACAACGCGCAGCGGCAAACATTAAAACGTGTTACGCGCATCGTGCTGCAGCCCGGGAGAAGCTTGAAAACCCGTGCTGAGTGAAAGCAGCCGGGCGCAGAGGGGCCCGGATCTCGTGGTTCCCTTCTCGGGAAAGCCCGGGACAGGGGACCCTGCAGAGATGGAAGGGGGCGGGCAGGTCAGGGAGCAATTGCTAATGGTTAAGAAAGATTTCTCCTCCCTGGCTGGCATAGCTCAGTGGATTGAGCGCAGGCTGC